AAAATAACTTGTTTAGTTGTTACAGTGCGTACATACATAACCAAGAGATTTCGTAATAAGAATATAAGGTGCTTCAGGCACGTTATTTGTGTACAACAACATACATACATACATACGTATACTGTGCTTGAAAAGCTAAAAAATAAAAAGCTCCATTCAATAGTCTTCTACAGATTTTTTTTTTTCATGCATGGACAACATTAAGTTCTCTTTTGGATGGATGTTTACCACCTAATTCAAGGTCGTAGCAACTCCCCCCCCCCCAAAAAAAAGTTTTTCTGGCGTATTATTGTACCAAAGGAACTTTAATTACATGAAACTTGTTGGAGGATTTCGATATATCAGTACAATAACCCGGTAGGACAGCGGTAAGTTTATGCACTTTCAATGCTAACATCCGGGGTTCGATTCCCCGTGATGGACAGAACGCAGATAACCCATTGTGTAGCTATTCGCTAAAAATAACAACAGTAGATCAGAGGTTCTCAAACTTTAATAACCCGAGGACCCTTTAAATTTAAATTTTTTTCTCGGACCCCCAAAACTACCGGTGTTTTTCGTTCTGAAAAATAACAAAAAAAAAATGATTGCGTCTACATGAAAAGCTGTATTCCAAAATTAAGTGTTTTAATTTCTATAAATTTAATTTTACGCAAAATATTTTGATTTCTATAAATTTATTTTAAAATTATTTTTATTAAATTTCGGACATGACTCTCGGACACTAGTTTGAGAAACGCTGCAGTGATTAAAAATTACCATTAAGTGATGATTTTTGTATTGTTTTTGCATGCGAACCATGCGGAACCCTTAATCATCAGTTTTGGATAGACATTTTATATCAAACGCCTGATTCATACGAGTTTTAATAAATTGGCAACTGTATAGCGAATTGACATTTTAATTACAAACTTTTTATCTCATGCTAGTTGAATATTTAATTCACCACATCAAATGATTAGGGTGTTCAAGTTTAAAAAATAAAAATTAAACGTAATTTATAAATATAGTTAGCAACCCCTGTTAGCGAAGTATAATATGAACTTAGAATATGCCTCCCAGTGGCACAGCGGTATGTCTGCGGACTTACAACGCTAGAATCCAGGTTTCGATACCCGTGGTGGGCAGTGCATAGATAGCCCATTGTGTAGCTTTGTGCTTAATCACAATCAAACAAACAAACAAACTTAGAATATTCTCTGTTTCGACTCCTTCGTGGTTGTTAATGGACCACATCTTCTTTAAGTATATATATATATTGTTTTTTTGTATAATCAGTACAATACAGAAATGTACTTGTTTGCTAATTTATGAATTATTCGTTTCGAAGTTTCTGTTTTATTGTATTCAAATATGGTTAATAAACCAATAAAGAAAACCAATTTGTATAATCTTCAGCCTCACAGTCCATTTTCAACCTAATATGTAAGAATGTGGTCACGACATACACGCTCCTAAATAATCTAAACTCTACTATTTTCATAAACACATGCCCCCTAGTGGGACAGCGGTAAATCTACGGATTTACAACGTTAAGATCACGGATTCGATTCTTCTCGGTGGGCACAGCAGATAGCCAGATGTGGCTTTACTATAAAACACACACATGATACTGTAACCTTATTGTAAATTGAACTTTGTTAACGTATTCTTTGTTTCAAACGGCGTTAATAAATGTCGTTATAAGATTGTATGTTATAAGTTCCATATTGCCCACCAACATAAAACCCTCCCTTCGTTTAGACAGGCATACGCTGTTCATTTTGTTTTCACATATTGCATTCCTATAGTGTATTTCAAATATCCAAAAGTCGAGGAAAGAAATCACAACATCATTTTAAATTTCAATTATCTAAAGGCGAATTTATTCTTATAAAATTTTTTAAACATAACATGGAACAAGAAGAAGAAAAGGTATAATCTTACTTCAATGATCCTTGCATGGTGGGTAACTAGGCTGCAATGGATCTCATCATGATGTATCTGCATGTGTGAAGATTTTTGGTAACCCAAAAGATGGAGTGGTTCATTGTTTTGTGGAGTTATCTTTGTTTAGCATTTAAATCGTTTAGTGGTATATAGATGTAGTTTATAGTAGTTTTCGAATACAATAAAGCCTTGTGCAAGCCATTAATCAAAAAGGTTTGATTAGCCATTAAAAAGTTTTCACTTAACGCTATGGTTGAATACCATCTTTTTTTTTACGTGCATGTGTAATTATATGATGGCTTTCAAATATATGGGCATAGATAGCTTGTACAAAGAGTTAGGTTTTATCTTTTTTGTCCACTATAAAGACTGATGGTTAGCAAGGGCAAATTAGATCCAGTTAGGAGGAAAAGAATATGTTACTTTGCAAAAGTTGCTCCTTTATTAGTTCTTTGACTTAGATTGAGACATTTAGTTTTTACACTTTTTGTCTTAAGGCCACGTAGTTCATGTAATTGACTGAAATATGGAATTAGTACATTTTATATAACAAAAAGAAGTCTCTTGCATTGAACTTAAGTTCAACAAAGTTCCCCATTTCTCATACACTTTACTATGCTGGGTATGTTGATAATGTGGTGCTCATGCATATTACCTTTTTTGGTAATTGAAAACATGTATCTACATTCTTTGCTTCTTATCTCGTTCTGTTTGTATTTTCTATTACCAGAAAATTAAACAATATAGAACTAGTATCGGTCTATTAGTCGTCGGTTGTGTCATTTCCAGTTCTGTGTAAAATAAAATTGTATTTGTTTCCGTCATTTTTTGAAGAAACATTTATGCCTGTAATAAAAATTTTGAAAAGAAAAAAAAATATATATATATATACAGTTATTTCACCTTCGTAAGAAGTCACTTATTCTAATTACTGTTTGTTTTTTGATAAGTTCCGTAAATTATGGAACATTGTAATTTTCATTATATATTATTTTATTCATCGATCATAACAATACCATTACTTGTGGACATTTTTAAAAGACTGGTTTCCCTAAAGGGAGAACGTGAGAGTTCATGTCCCTAGGTGGACACAGCAGATAGCGTATTAAATGATGGGATCTAAGCTTCCTTTAAAAGTTATTCTGTTTGGAAGTTGGGCATAGCCAAGTGGATAGCGTGTCCGAACTGAGAATCAGGATATTAATAGTTCGCATGCAGTTGCCGGAAAATAAAACGTGCTCCGCAATTTCGGAATGTTGGTTGCCATAGCAATGATGGCCAAATCCCACTTTCCGTTACACAAGAATAACCTAACAGTTAACGGTTGGTGCTGTTAACCAGCTACTTTTTCTTTGGTTTATCATTTCAGAATTAGGCACGGGTATTTCAAGGTAGCCCTTTGTAGTGTCTTTTCATAAAAAAATATTAAATCTTTTCATAAAAAAATATTAAAGCATGCAATTTATTTGGTAAATATACACGTGATGAAGTTACTAGCATGTCGGATGGGTGTAATTAATTATATGAAAATATATGAAAGTCAAGGACGTAGACTGTAGTATCTGGATATTCATTACTTCTCTTGGAAATATTTAAAAATCCTTTGAGGAAAAAAGATTTTCATTGTTAACATTGAAATCATTTGTACACACGCTGTTTTAAGTGACAGGCTCTTCATATATTTCTTTGTAAACAAGTTGATGTCTGAGAGTATAAATAATGGACATTGCGTCACAGTTTGCATGCCAAATAAGCCAGTGTTGCCAACTGTGAAACTATTGGCAGACTTACAAGTCTATTTTCAAGGGCACCTGGTCATGTGCCTCGAAAGTCCGGCCGACCACCTGAAGGGCGAGAACAGGTTGGTTCTTCGCCATGCTCGGCCACATTTGCCTCTACTATTTCTCTACACGGGCGAGATCTTCGCGACGGCAACCGTGTGATTGGTTGCTCGCTTCCCGGCGCCTTCAAAAGTGTTCTGGTACAGCTAGTTTTTCATTTAATCCAGACCTTGCCCTTGGTTTGTCCCCAGTTTTTGTCCAAGTATATACGGCCACGGCTGCATCATTATCCGTTGGAGGCTGCGAGCTGACTTGTATCGCACGTGAAGGTACCACGCGAAGCTGCTTGTACTTGATACAACTAGTTTCACGTATGGACCATTTAGTCATTTTCTCCTTCGTAGTATTCACGTAGTTAGTCAAGCTTTAGTGTCAAACTTTTTTATTACTGCTTCAGAATGGGTATAACGTGTGTTTATGTACATAATCGAACTGCATCCATTTCCAACCGATGATTTTGAGCGCACACTACTTATTGAGAGACTGAAGCATAGGTAAAGCACGCGCATGAGCGTGCAAACATTGTGTACATTTGTACGTTTTTTTGTTTTTTTTAGTGTACGTTATCCGTTCAATCGTCTAAAGAACAGCGATTTAAATTTAACCCGACTAATCAGAATCCTGAAGTTTTGCTAAACCACGTGTTTTCTGGTGAGACATGATGAACAATTTTAGCAGTGGATTGATTGAGATGAGGCCTTGATTAACCTGTTAACCCGCATACATGTTTAGATTCAGTGGAATTGGCTCTGTCGTCAATATAAGATGCACGCGCATGTATGATATACGTGTCCAGTGCCCTTGACTGAGTCTGATGTGGACAGTTTTGTAAACCAGAAAGTTTGTTTATGGAACGGATTGTCACGCTTTTGTCAAACTGAATAGTGTTATAGGCTTACTTGATCCGTCAGTGACTGGAAATTTATTCACATATTCTATAAATAGTGTACAAGCCTTATTATAGTGTCCCAGGAAAACAGTTTGTTACTGTAATAATTACAAACGAGGTTAAAAAGAAAACTTATCGTTATTATTCTTATCCCTATGCTGAAATAACTATTTTTGTAATCTATGTAATCTCCAAATACTTCAAGTGTATCAACTTTTTTCTTATTTGTTTTCGACAATTCTCAATTAATTATATCGTACTGCATAGATACATTGCTATTAGTCAACATATTTTGTTCAGTTATGCAGACAAGAATGAAATGACGTCACTCTCCTTTTAAGGTATGGAAGGAATTATTACCAAGAAAGAGCGCCCGAAGCTCTCCGTAACAGCATTGTTATATGGCACAACGAGTAGTGGGGTTTCTACCCCAACCTGGCTTCAGTCTCCCCTTCCAGGTAATAATATCAGCATAATGGTATTTCTGAATCTCAGCATATTGACCATTTTATTTCTTTTTAATCGCTTTTAATTTTTTTCGACTTGCCTTGTATTGATTTATATGTATCTGATAGTTGTCTTTCATTTCTCTCGGTATGGTATTTGTCTGTCATTTACGTTTACCTTGGACAGGTGTCTCTTTATTATTTATGCCTATATGATTTTTATGCATTTATTTATGTGTAAGGCTTACATGTTACTTATCTCTAATTTGTTAGTACTTCGTGTTTTATGTGTGTTTCAGTTATATAATTTTTTTACATCTGTTACTATATATCTGCCTTATATATATATATACATTAATTTCTATTTCGTATTTGTCTGTCAGTCGATAACCCTAGAAACGCTAAAGTGTGTGGCAGTTTATGAACAGAACTTGGCTTTTTATATATTTCACCACCGTTTTTGAGAGGCTTGGTGGTTAAGACGCTCGACTCGCAATTTAAGGGTCGCGGGTTCGAATTCCCGTCACCGAACATGCTCGCTCTTTCAGTTGTGGGAACACTATAACCCACTATTCGTTGGTAAAAAAAGGAGCTCAATAGTTGGCGGTGGGTGGTGTTGACTCGCTGCCTTACCTCTAGTCTATCACTGCTAAATTAGAGATGACTAGCGTAGATAGCCCTTGTTTAGCTTTGTGCGAAATTCAAACCAAATCGATACAGCGAATGGTTTTGTGTCTGACGTTCATTTCTGTTGGTCTGGTATCTGCCTGCATACCTATAATTTCTATATATACTGGTATATCGTTTAGGAATTTGTTTATTTATATCAACATACGTTTAATATTCGTTTTTTGATGACACAACAGTGAGAATAGTAATAAACTTTTTCCAAGAAGAAGGAAATATATATACGTATAAAGCGAGTGTAGCACATAACAAAAGGTTTCCAGATGGCAAGACACCCAATTCTGAAGTATTTTGTGATTTAGAGGTTTCTTCCTAGTTGTGGATATGTATCATTTTAATGTTTCATGACTACCAAGCCAGACATCGTCTGATTGTACGAGATAAAATTATTTTACAGGACGTTAATATAATCAGTAAAATAATGCCTTAGTTTCTCTCCCGTAAAAAAATAAAAAATGTTTGAATATATTTGTAGATTGAAGTCTTAAAATGGCCGATATAAAAAATTGTATATTTGAACGTTATATCAAATCGTTATAACCAACATAAAATAATTCTGAAGTTCTGAGATTAATTATTACATGAACAAACCACTATTAATCATACAAAGGAAATGTGAACTCGTAATTGACCATTTCATTGCTTCAGTCCGTAAAATAAGCTGCCACACATCTCCTCAGCTTTGAAAGTAGCCATTGAAAGACCCCATGCTCCAATGGCATCTTCTACTAAAAGCCTTTCACACTATCACAGGGGGGGGTGGGGTTAGAGGAGCTTCTCCCCGTTTTCTAAACATCAAGATTGAATTAGGTAAATTTGGCCCCAGCGTGGCTTAATGGTTAGCATGCCCGCCTGTGAATTAGACTGTCTATGATTCGGGTCTAGTTTCCAAAAAATAAAAATTGCGCTCCGCACTTTGGGGCCATGGGTGCATTATAAAAGCGACGGTAAAATCCCAATATTCGATTAGAGTAGCCCAAGAACTGGCGGTGTGTGCTGTTGACTAGCTGCCTTATCTTTAGTCTGTTAGTTCAAAACTAAGGACAACTAGCGTAGATAGCTCTTGTGTAGCTTTGTGCGAATGCCTGAAACAAAACAAACCATTCTTGTAGGCATAATTATATGTAAAATTAGCTTCTAAGCTATTTTCTAGTTTCAAATTATTTAGTTACTTTACTTTTATAATTGCTTATGCTAAAGATCGGCAATGAAACATAATAATTTAAGAAGAATATAACTTGTCCAAGGTACAATCAGCAAGTGACTTGACAACCACAGCCGATACAAAGCCGCGGAACAACATGTATCAGAACTACATTTAAACATTGTTTGGCGTTAAATAGGTATAATATATATATATATAGTGTGATGCCATCGAAAATTGGTCGCTTTTTAAAAGGATATGTAACAGCCTTTTCAGACGCAAAATAAAATATTGGAAAACAAAGGAATATGGATCAACTTGGGGCTCTAGGACCGTCTAGAAAGCGACATACCCTGGGCGTGATAAGCAAAATGCTGCTTCTCGTAACAAGTGAAAAACCACGAATACAAGAATTAGTGACAAAAGCCGTCGACGTGCCTCAGAGAAAAGTACGTAACATAATTCAAAATATCCATATGGAAAACTGACACAAGTCAAGTGTTCGCAAGTTGCTTCAAAAACATATCTGTCGTCGATTGCCTCAAGCAGCTGGAGAATGAAACATGAATTCATGCTATTCCATACAAAGGCATTGAATAAAGTTGCTTATGGATTTCTGTGTGATCAGATTGTTGACACGGGCGCTGGGAAACCGCCGTCGTCGTACGCTAGTTGGCTTATGGAGGGCAAGCAGTGATGTATTTTGGCATGACCGTCTTACGACGGAGTGTTTTGCAATGTAAACTACGCTATCTTCAATATGTACAGCTGTCAGTATGACTGGATGTAGTGACATGGACTGTAACAAATTGGTGAGGTGGAAAATCGTTTTCTAAATTTTCGTGCAGATGTTCTGCAAGCATATAACATTTTGGTTAGCTGGTTATCGAAGGGTCGTAAACATGTGCTAATCATTTTACTTAGGTAAAGGTTACATAGGCAACGGCTGGAAGGTTGTGTCACTTTGGTTCTATTCCTGTGTCTACTTCTTGGAGGGGGGGGGGCAAGTCCATCTCAAGGAATGATACAGTTTCTTGCAAAAATTGGTATAAGTTGGGAGGGTTTCTCCTCCTGTGTTATTTGAAATAGCTTGTGACGTGTGCATTCTGGGGTTATAGTTTACCGCACTTTGATTCATGGTTTAACATGAAAGTATGTTGGGCTCTTGTTCTATGAGGGCATTTTAGAAGATTCCTCTATCTCCCAGCAGTCAGTAAAAAGTCATTATACTGAATACAGAAACCAACCAGGATGTTAATACTTGTTCAGTTACTGTGAATAATTATTTTGTATCAGTTCACTTGTGTGTTTGTTGTTGTTGTTTTCGAATTAATATTCGTTTAACAGTCATGAAACTTTTCGCTACCTGCTGAATGTCAGCATACTTGGACACTATAAACTCTCTTCGTCCTAACCTTTAGTACCTTGATTTGGTTTTTGAGATACTATTATAGCTAGTTTAACTCCGAACAAATATTCTTTGGGCGAACTAGGCTAGATCCCAACTATCTTTAAAACGTTCGAATGTTTCTTGTGCTATTTTGTGCGTTTAATAGTAGAAACTTAAAACAGGATTCATTGGATTATCATAGTAAACTGACAAGTATATATATATTTCGAAAGGTATAGACCACGTGCGTTCTTTTAAATAAAACGCTTAAAAGTTCTTGTCCTTGAAATTGCATCGTGTAGGTATTCCACTTCCAGCAGGTATATGATCAGTATCATGAACACTGACTTCACTTATACATGTACCTTTTGACAAGATTCCATCAGTCTTAAACGCTGGGTTTATATTTGTCTGGCTAATTTCGTGTGAAATAAGTGAAGATTGCATAATTGAGTTTATCAGGCAACTAATATTTTTTTTCTTCGTGAAAATACGTTTCTGAGTGAATTTACGGATTACTGCTGTAACCAGATTATAACTAATAATAGATGTATGCATATAAAACCTTTGTATGCAGCCCCTAATGTTGCATGTATTATCCGTTCGGTAGCCCTAACTTTTTTTTTTTTAGTGATAACCTTGCCAGCAGATGTCACTTCCTGTCATTTCAGGGCATGATATTCTAAGCACGCATAAAAATAAGCAAAGCACACACGTAGAGACATGTGCACGTATATACATACATACGTGAATATTTAATAGCAATCTGGTTACCACTATACCGGCCTTTTAGTTTTCTATGTATGTGATGTTGTTTTTGGTATATACATTTGATACATATTTTTTCCCAACAGTTTTGTTTTTACTTTTTTTTTAGTTTTACGGCATGGGTAGCATTGAATTGTTTCCTCTGACCCTGTTTGTATCTTCCCAGTTGTTTGATTTAACAGGTATGTGTAACAGGGAGTTTTGTACCTGATGAGCCATCTTATACAGAGCTAGGATTGTGCTGGCTTCCTTACGTAAGCTTATGGCCAGGTGGTTTGGGTGCTCGACTTGCAATCTGGGGGTCGCTGGTTTGAATCCCCGTCCCATCAAACATGCTCGCCCTCTCAGCCGTGGGTGCGTTATAATGTGACGATCAATCCAACTATTCGTTAGTAAAAGAGTAGCTCAAGAGATGGTGGTGGGTGGTGATGACTAGCTGCCTTCCCTCTAGTCTTACACTGCTAAATTAGGGATGGCTAGTGCAGATAGCCCTTGTATAGCTTTGAGCAAAATTCAAAAACAAGCCAACAAACCTAATGCGTATTGTTTGTTTTCCAACTCATCTGACCTGTCCTTTACCTTGACTTTTATATTTCACAGACATGTACCTTTGTGTTTTCTACAGACTATTTGTACATGTAAGATCATAATCTAAGTTTCAAGAAGTGACATTTGATGTCAAGATGATGAATAAAAAAGAGAGGCTGCAGGACATGTAATGCATGTTGAAACATAATATTTATCCAAAGATTTATTTCACATCAGGTTTCCTTTAAAGTAATGCAAGATATATAGTAAAGAGAGTTCTTAAATACCTAGTGGATGAACTTGTATCTTGTTCTAACTTTGAGCCAACTATTCTGTGGATGGTACACTGCATTTTTGTCAGTTTGAGCCCACTTCATATTGTTGAGCAATGTTTACAATAACAAAAAACAAAACTGTACATCCTGTTGTGGTAGCTACATGTAGGCTGGGATGAGTCATGCTGATAAATTCAGAAGACTGATGAAAGACAAACACAAAAAAAAATGAAAGAAATGTCTGACATATGGTACAAAACAGCCTACTGGCTTGGAAAGTAACAGAGAAATAAACATTGCATGAGGTTCTTTACTCCTGCTATCTGGCTTTTGGTGAAATTATTGCCTCATGAGAGGGCTAAACCATAAAATTTAAGTGTCTATATGGAGTTTATAATATTTCACATTCCTGTATGAGAATGAACAAATCATAGATTAATCTTTTGAAAAATTAATAAGAAATGCAGATTTTTAATTTATATATGTGATCAAGATTAATAATTTGCATAAATCTGAGTTTATTTTAACATCTAATCATTAAGTTTTTGTTTTATGACATTACTACTCTTAGTTAGACCAGTCTATTAATTTAAACACATTATTTACTGGGTTAATTTTTAATGCTGACCTATGTAGGTAGCTTATTTTGATCAGCAATCATTGATAAACTGCTTGAATATGAATATTACTCAGATAAATGAGTATCTTTTAAATAATATGAAATCAAATGTTAACATGAAGTAAAGAGTTTTGTTTATTACAACAGCTGAATGTGATTGCTCAAATGTGTATAACACTTTATTAAAGACTTAAGTATGAAGTTCTAAAACATACTTTTGTCTTAAATGTACTAATTTTTTTAGAAATTTTATGTTTTATTGTATCTGGAATAGTGTGGGAAAATGTTTGTTGTTGTTGTTTTACTGACTCCTAGCCATCAAAGAATCCAGCTCTAAGATGTATCTCAAAGAACCCTGTTACACCTTTGTGTAATATGTTTGCAATTTGTAAATGTGTCTATTTTTTGTGTAGTTTATAAATATATTGCCTCTCATTTAGCTTAACCTTCAAAAGAATTTATTTTACGAAGTCTATATATTCACTACTGAATCATGGAAAAACAGCAACAACATTTTACTGCCAAACAATATCATAATAGTAAAAAAAAGCGACACTAACACAGAAACACTGATATCTCACCTGACAATTAATCATGAATAAAAGTTTTTACCAATAGCACTTGTAGGAGCAAATGTTAGCATCAGAAAATTTAACCATACTTATCAAATTACTTGATTCAGGTCTTGTTAAGCTTTGGCCCTAGTTTCATTTGTCACACGAAGAACTAACATTTTTAATTTGACTATATGTGTAACTTGTCTGTTTTTGTATTATACACAAAGAACAGTGTTTATCAGTCTCTGTTTAAACTTTAACAGTTTGGTTAGTTCAGATAAGTTATAATGACATTTGTTTGTGTGCAAAAAGAGAATAATAACATTGAAACATAATAATGCAGGTTTTCTGACCTCCATGGCAGGATGTTGAGTGCAAGTGTCCCAAATATAGCTGTAACAGCAACACATAGGTTCACTGTTGATGGAGTAGGCGGGGCATCACTTACGTAGTTAGCATAATGGTTTTTAATACATATGACCTTGAAATTAGAGTGCTGTTCTCGAGTGTCAAGTTGCCGATTAAATACATGTATTTTCTAGTCGTCTTTTACATAATTTTCCCCACTCTTTCCCTTTCTTGTGATTGTTTTTTCATTGTTGTAAAACCAATTTATGTTGAAGAAATTATAAGAGTGTAAAAATACTGAAGTTTACACATTTTTAAGGTATTATTTTCTCTTTTTTTTCAAATGTATATTTATGACAAACATTTGTTGCTTGTGTAGTGGTCCATATCCAGATTGTAATCACAGATAAATAATAGATAATTTATTGGCTCATGGCAAGCATTTCTATATAGATGTATGATAAGAATGTGATGTGTATGTTTGTAAAGTACTGTGTATGTGTATATAATATTACCCTCTTTCACAGGTGACATTTTACTCAACTAGTTATTCAACAGCTAATACTAGTATATAGGACTTGAAATTTTAGTTGATTTGAAAGAGTTATTCAGTGTTAGAAGTGAAAGTTGTCACATCTATTGTGCTATTCAGTTACTCTGTGAGTTAGTGTGTTTGCTTATTGATTTAAGCTAAATAAGTTAGGCATAGGTACCATTAGTCTCAGCATTTGTTTTTAAATATTTTATTTGAAGTTAAGCCTACAAAATAATATGATTGTGACAAATTTTTATTTGAAAATAAGTTCATTTGTTATTCATACATGGACTGGTCTTTGCATTAGTTTTACTAAATAATCCAAAAGAATGTGTCCAATGATAGAAAAGGTTACAACAATATCATATGATACATTCTAGTAAATATTCTTAGTAAGTTCATTATGGATTTTCAGAGTGAAAAATGTACAAGTAGTTTTTTTAGTTGATTTCTATTTGTGAAGGCAAGGCCATAACATAAAAGAAACAGACAAATAACTATCACAGTAAAGTCAAAAACCTGTTATCAAAATAAATTATTTATTAAATTTTTCATGATTATATTCAAATATTTGATTTGTTTCTTTATCAGATGTCCATTAAATTGTTCACATTTGGTTTCACATGGATGTGAACCACTAGCTACTGTAAACTGATACTGTTACTTTTTTTTTACTATTAATTAGTAAAATTTCAAGTTAAGGTGCATGTATGTGTTTTTTAAAGATTGAAAAAAATAAACATTTCAAAGACCTAAGAAGTATGACTAAACACAGTTTAAGGATGCATCAGTTTTTATTAATTTTACCATAATACTTATTCTTGAAATGATACATATTTGTTATTAGTTCTTTTATCACAGTAGATATTGATACATTAAGTTTAATTTAGATGAGTTTAGTTAGTTCCAGTATGTGTTTCTGAGACTCTAGAGCAGTGGGTCCCCAGACCCCTGGGGGTCCACAAAGGTAATACCATCTCATTAAACAAGGAAGTTTTTAATACTACTGTTTTTTAAATGCACACTCAGTTATATATGTCTTTTAGTTGATTGTGAAAAATGGGAAGAAAGTTAATTATTACTTAATAAAAACAGATTGTTGGATAGATGGAATATTTCAAAAACACGAGGTCCATGGGGGGGGGGAGTATAATAAAAGGGGTCCTTCATGGTGAAAAGATTGGGCACCACTGCTCTAGAGTATAGGTTGACCAGTAGCTGTCAGCTATGTCTTTCTTTATAGATTGTAAACTAATGCAATGATATATAGCTAATTAATAACAAAAGATAGAAGATATTATGTAAATACTGTAATGTTAACTTGGTTTAGTATGGTTGTGCTACTAAGGTTACTTTTTATCTTAGGTATCTAATCTTTGCTAGATAATTTGAGTTCTGTATACCAAACTATGCAGAATGGTATTATTGATATTATGAAGTGTAGCTGGTGGACATAATAAATGTTCATTTTTTTAAGTTGTAGAGAATGGTTTAAAGAAGGAATTTATATTCTTTCAACTGATTGAAATATTAAATATTTTGTTTTATTTAAAGTGAGTTTTCAACTTCATTTATAACCATATGAATATAGTTTTATATTTACCATCTTTTAGAATGGGATACGTAGTGTGTTTTAGCATAGCATTAAATATGTGTAATTACACTGTTTCAGAGAAAGCATGAAGCGTTAACTATGCATATAAATTGGCTAACTGATTAATTTTTTTCTCTTCTGGAGTTTCTGATTGAACAAGTAAAATCTAGAGTGACTCGATGATAATCAAAAGTATTATTATTTATTTTGTTTACTTTCAAGAAATATGAATGGTCATAAAAGTTTGAAAAATATTATCAGTTGTTAAAAGTAACAATTCATTTCCTAAGTTGAAAACAGTAAACTCTAAAAACATTGTGGAATACAAGATAAGTTAGGAACACTGGTGGTTCTACTTAAGTTTTATATAGTGAGAAGACAGTTAAATAATTCAAACCAAACAGCTATCTATATGTATGTATAGACGTATTCAACTTTTCATCAGATTAAAAACTAATTTTCTTGATACAAAGAAGAACCATACTTTTTATTGCTGCTATACTTAAGTGTATGTACTACATTTTTATTATGTTAAAAAAAGGTTATCAGTATGAAAATAATGGGGAAGATATTTTTTAAATAAGCCTTGAACTAGAGATTTTTGAAACTGCATTTGCTTAGCTTTAACTTTTGAAACAAAGTATTTAATTTAAAATTATGCTTGTCAACTTTTAGATGCTCATTATCTTCAACAAATAGCCAATCAGAGGAGCAAGTTAAAAGAGAAGAATCTGTAGGCTGGATATTGCAAAACCTGTGATAGTTAAATAACTGATAGATAAAAAGCATGTGTAGGCACTGATCTGGACTAAATAAGAATTTCAGTGATCAGAGCGCTGATCAATTCTTGTCTATTTTCTGCAGATCAGTATTTTTATTCTATTTCTATTTTTATTTTGATCATTAGAAACCAACATTGATATTAGCATAACTTGCTTATATGTTTATGATAGCTTAAATTGTATCATACATAAAAACTTGAATAACTTGTGTGAAATAACTAACGTTACTTCTCAGTTTTTCAATTTAGGTATTTAGAGCAATGAACACATCAGATAAATCAATTCTTATATACTTGTTATATTCAGTGCACATGAAATGGCTTACAATAAGGTAAATTAGTGGATTGTTATAATTTTTCTTTTAGCATAGCAGTAAGAATATCATGCTTATGGATAGACTGGACACAAATATGAATTCTATTTACATATTACAGTTGACATTTCTGAACTTTTACATTTTGTCCTTATTATATGATGAGTTATAACTAGATAAAAAAATCTTGTTTTCATTTAAACTTTAAAATTTATGTAAGTGCTAGATGCTATTTTATTTACAGGACCTTCTTCAAGTTATTGAAACATATAAGAATATAATTGGTAAAAAGTATCATTTCATGAGTTTGTTCTAACATAGTTTAAAGTCAACAAATAAATTAGTTCATTTGTATGATGATGTACTATGTTTGTAGTCATTCTGTCTCTTTATTTTCACAAAATATAGGTGGGTTGACTACTTCTTCACCAGTGGCTAATGGCCTAGGGTCTGTGTCAAACATATCTGCAACCACAGCAGGAATGAATTCTAATGTTACTAGTAGTCTGTCACAGCCAACTTTTTCTGGAATTCTTGCTAGTAACTTTATTTCACAAGCTGTAAGTGTCATATTTGGCTCTGTAGTTTGCATATACAGAGTGAAAATATGTTTGTTTATAGTACACAAAATTTCCTATAGTCATTCTAGTATGGTACTCAGTTTTGAGAATTGGCTAATTTATACCACATACATCTATATATACATCCATCTGAATAAAATTTTGGAGAAATGAACATGAAGTTGTAAGGATTCATTATTGAAACTAAATATAAAATTAGTGTTACTTGTATATACTACTCTGTCATATCTATAAAGGTAAACCTACTTTTACCTAATAATACACTACCATTCAGTTAAAAAGCAAAAATATAATTATCATTCACTAACTATGAATTTTTGAGCATAAACCAGTGGTTAGTGTACTGGACTGTGAATCTGAGGTTCTGTGCTTCACATCTCTTTACTGCCAAATTTGTTTAAAATCTTTGGGACCAAAAATGCTTTATAAGTGTGATGATCAAACCACACTATTCAGTCTGATAATAGTAGCCTGAGCCCAAAAGTTTGCAATTTTCTGTAGTTTATCATATCAAAATTAGGACAAACTAGCACATATAGCCCTCGTGTAGCTTTGCACAAAATTCAACAAAAACAAAAATTGTTGAATACTGGGAAAATGACTTTAAACTAACTTGATGTGGGTTAGGCAGGAAGACAGTAGCTAGAGATTAGTGGTCATCAGGATACAGAGATACAAATTATGAGAATAAATAAAAGAGAATAACAAAAGAAGTGGATAATACTTAAATGTCTTAGAGCTTACAAAACATCTGGCTATTGGTTTAGGTTAGTAAGTTATAGAGTACTGATAAAGGAGGTGGATTAGACAGGAAGATTGGAACAAGATATTGTTGACCATTGACCATTAGGATTGAAATATACAGTAAGATGGTTTGTAAAAAAAAATATCGTTGTAGGTGTGGGGGATAAGTTAGCAAATTGGATAGAAGAGTGGCTGGATGGAAGAAAACAGAGGGTTGCTACAAATGGAGTTCAGTCAAACTGGATTAATGTCACAAATGGGGTACATCAGAGCTCAATCTTAGGACCCATACTGTTTTTGATTTACATCAATGACATAGATGAAGGAATGGTCAATAAATTACTTAAATTTGCAGATGATATTAAGGTCTTGGGTGTTGCTAGCTGTGAAGAGGATGCTGCTGAGTTACAAAAGGATTTAGATCATTTAATGAGTTGGGCAAATAAATAGCAAATGGGTTTAATTATAATTAATGCAAAATAATGCATGTGGGTTATCATAGTTTGAATTATAAGTATAATTTGGATGGGAATAACCTTAACAGTGTCATGAAAGAAAGGGATCTTGGTGTAATAGTAGATCAGTTTCTTAAGCCATACAAACAGTTTGCTGTTGCTAGTGGTAGGGCAAATAGGATTTTAGGTTGTATGTACAGAAATATTGAAGACAAGTCTAAAGAGTCTATAATTTCATTGTACAGGTCACTGGCTGGTTAGGCCACATTTGGAATTCTGTGCTTAGCCTTGGGCTTCTTACCTTAGGAAAGACATTGAGTTGTGGGAAATGGTTCAGAGAAGGGTTACTAGAATGGTGCCTGGGATGGAGGGGTTGTTATACAAGGAGAGGTTGAAATTTCTCAAATTTTTTCCTCCTGAAAAACTAAAAGTTAGAAGGAATCTGATTGGGGTGTTTAAGGTTGTAAAGGGAATTGATAGTGTTGATGCATCATCTTTTTTTTTTCATATTTAACAGTGAGAATAGTAGGACTAGGGGACACAAATATAAATTTTGGCAGGGTAGGAGTCATTTTCAGCTAAGACAACTTTATTTTTCTAGCAGGATGGTTGGCCTTTGGAATGGGTTGCCTTCGGATGTTGTGGAGGCAGTAAATTTAAGTGAGTTTAAGAAAAAGTTTGATAAGTATATAAACGATAAGTACTGGCTTTAAGATTTTTTTAATTTTTTCTTTATTTATTAAGAGTTTTAGTTTAGTTTAG